AGAAGGATCGCTTTGGGGGGATTGTATCCTGCTTTCCTGCGCAAATTCGATCAGCTGGAGTTTAAGGCCCCTGGCAGATAACCCCTCTGCCCCCACCCCCATGAGTCTGCATACAAGAAATACATCTCTAAAGAGGTAATAAGCCTTTCTGCTGCCCATGCTATAGCTCTTTTAACCTTATATATACAGATGGTCCCTCACTTACTTACCACGGTTTCACTCATGAATTCATGGGGTTCACTGGGGCCTAACCCGTCTTTTTTTTTTTTTTGTCTTTTTTTGAGATGGAGTCTCACTCTTGTCGTTGTCCAGGCTGAAGTGCAGTGGTGCAATCTTGGCTCACTGCAACCTCTGCCTCCTGGGTTCAAGCGATTCTCCTGCCTCAGTCCCCCGAGTAACTGGGATTACAGGTGCCCACCACCACGCCGAGCTAATTTTTGTACTTTTAGTAGAGATGGGGTTTCACCATGTTGGCCAGGCTGGTCCTGACCTCAGGTGATCTGCCTGCCTCGGCCTCTGAAAGCGCTGCAGTTACAGACGTGACCCACCGCTCTTGGCCTAACCCCATCTTAAGCGGAGGAATTCCTATATCTGCATGCCCACAGAAGAGCTCATAATTATAACACGTGCCGCATGTCATCCAAGCCACAGGCCGGTGATGTGAAGTTACACGATCCAAGAAATACAATAGCATTAAGAAAAAGAATGCGGCAGTCAATATTACCAAATGCTGGGTGACTCTAAGACGCATGTTAATTGCAGGGACCTGAAAATCGCAAATAAAAAAACGCATGTAGGTGGGGTGCTGTGCATCATACCTGTAATCCTAACATTTTGGGAGGCTGAGGCGAGCGGAACACATGAGGTCAGCGGTTCGAGACCAGCCTGGCCAACACGGCGAAACCCTGTCTCTACTAAAATACAAAAATTAGCCTGGCGTGGTGGTGCACGTCTGTAATCCCAGCTACCTGGGAGCCTGAGGCAGGAGAATCACTTGAACCCTGGAGGCGGAGGTTGCACTGAGGCCGAGATCGCGCCACTGTGTCACTGCACTCCAGCTTGGACGACAGAGACTCCGTCTCAAAAAAAAAAAAAAAAAAAAAAAAGGCGCGTGTGTTCTCGACACGTTGGCAAAGGGCAGGGTTTGCAAGCCCTGCCCATCTGCGAGCGCTGATGTCCCGAGCAGGTAGGTGCGCGGCTGCGGCGACGGGAGGCTGCGGCCGGCGGGGTTTCCCTGCACGCGTCCCGCTTCTGGCGCGGAGGCTCCGCTAAGTTTCGCTTTCCATTCAGTGGAAAACGAAAGCTGGGCGGGGCGCAGCCGGGCGCGGGGCCAGACGGAGGCGGCGCGGCGCGGCGCGGAACTGCGGCCCCAGCTCGGTCCCCGGCTCAGTCCCGGCGTGGAACGCAGCAGCAGAGGCTGGACGCCTGCGTGGCGCTTGAGGCAAGTGTGGGGCTCGTTTTGGAAGTTTTCTTCTCAGCACAGGCACCCAGCTCTGCACCTATGCCAGCCAGAGAGTTAAGGAACTGATTGCCAACTGTGCTCTGCAAATTATGATACTGATCTGTATTTAATACGGGCATATATTGGGCCAATGAATTTTTTTCTAAGCTGATATACTTCTTTGGGCTTTTGGCGTGACTTTGTGTTTAATTGGAAAAAAAAAAAAAAAAAAGAAGTGACAGAAATGTTGCAAACTTGTAAAAAAAATCCATACAAGGCGGACAAATGTGTCTCTCCATCCTCCACTCAGTCTCATTGTTGTTTGTGCCTTATCGGAAACGTTTCTATGTACACGTCTTTAAACTTGCTCTGTCCACTGAGTATATTAAGGACATCTTTTCATGGCAGGACAGATAGATGTGTTCATGGCATTAAAAAAAAAAACCTGAAGCATAGTTTGGCAAGTACGTTGTTTAAACAATGAATGGAGATTTAGGTTGTTTGGAGTTTTTACTAGCATGGATACGGCAATGAATATCGTTTTCTGTATAGGTTCATACAAATGTATCGGTGGAAAATTTCTAGAAGTGGAATGTCTGGGTCAGTGGGCATTGGTCTTGAGAAATTGGAAGGATATTGTCAGACTCGATTTTAGTCTTAACCGCTCTTCTTCTCCGCTTTTCCTTGGAAGAAAGCTAAATTTAGACTTTTAAACCTAAAACTCCATATTGAGACTCCTAAAAATCTGGGTGCAAGGTGTTTGAAAATTAAAGCAGAGGCATTAATTTTGTACTTATTTAAGTATAATTTATACTTTAAAATTGTTCCAGAAAACAAGGCAAATATTGAAAAACATTTCGTCTGAAGTTTCTTTGTGGTATGATATTGTGCAGAGTTGGGTGGAGAGTGCACGCAGGTTATCTGATGTGTTCACAGGAACGAAATGGGAGGGAGAGGAACACAGGTGTACGGCTCCATCTTGATTTATCAAAGAACTAACAACAAGCGTTTTTGGAGGTTTTCTTTTGAACTATCAAAAAATGTATTGCACAGTTTTGACACTTTTACACAATCATGGGCTTACAAAGGGGAAAATGCTTCAGGTAAACAGTCTGGAAGAAGCCAAGTCCTAGTTCTTCCACATGAGCTGTTTTCTTTTTCTTTTCTTTTTTTTTTTTTTTTTTTTGAGAGTAGTCCCAAAATTTCCCAATTACTTGGCTTTTCATCCAAAGTGTTCTAATCCATGTGTTCTAACCCGCGTGTTATGATTACTCAAGAAATGGAAAATCATGTGAACGCATCATTGCGACTGGGGTCTCCAGTTGTGGGCGTCATGATGGGCTGGGTCGGAACACACTGACGCTGCTTTGCTCATATTCCCGGCAAGTTCATTTTGTTCCTTTGAGGGCATTTCATGTTGGAGTTGGCTCTGCTGACAGTGTAGTTTTGAGTGGAACGCTGTGTGGACGCTGCACCCTCCCCAGGTTTTCTTTCTTTTTTTCTTTTTGAGACAGAGTCTTGCTCTGTCACCCAGGCTGAAGTGCAGTGGCACGATCTCAGCTCACTGCAACCTCTGCCTCCCAAGAATCAAGTGATTCTCCTGCTTCAGCCTCCTCAGTAGCTGGGATTACAGGCACCTGCCACCATTTTTGCATTTTCAGTAGAGACGAGGTTTCACCATGTTAGTCAGTCTGGTCTCAAACTCCTGACTTTGTGATCCATCCATCTCAGCCTCCCGGAGTGCTGGGATTACAGGTGTGAGCCACCACGCCCGGCTTCTCCCCAGATTATCTGCAGCACATTCCTGGCTCTTCTGGGGCTTCTCTGAGGCTCCTGATTGATCCTGGGGCTACTCTGGTGGTGGACCTCAGCCAGTTCCTTCCATGGCTCACCTTTCCCTGCAGCTTAAGAATAACATTTTGGGAAGATCATGAGAGAATGTGTACAAGAAAAAAAAAAAATTCAGGTAGAGTGGGAGCTAAGTTAGTTTAGGATTTGGGGGTCAATTTTTTGGGTCACGGGTACAGTGTGGAAATTCCCTTCCTCGGAGTCCACTCATGCTGCTTTCTCTGGCTTATTGTGCCTGCTAACTTCAGCTGCATACTCACCCTGCCTCCCCCATTCTCCTTAGACGTTAAGCTTCACTTCCCTTTCCTCGCTGCCCCACCTGCCTGTCTCCCCAGAGTGATCTGCCCTGAAAGACTGCTGCATTTTCTGTTTCCTGCTGGGACCTGGCCTGCTCAAATGATCTGCTCCACGAGGTTCTACTGTTAGATCCTACTGACGTATCCGGGAGGCCTTGGTGGAGTGAAGGGCAGCAGCTTGGAAGATGCAGGCTGGAGCTTTTCTGCTCTTTCATCAGCTCTCCCTCAGTGATGAACTCAAAACCCTCTTTCTTGCTGATGGGATTGTCTGCTGTCATCATTTCAGTCATTCTAGGCCCGGCCTTAGAAGAGGACGACTCTTTATAACTATGGAAAGTCAATATTTACTAAGAAAAAGAGGTTGTTATCTCAGCCATTCAACATGAATTTAAGAATATATTCCACTTACATTTAGTTGTTTCCTTCCCAGCTTCAGATGTTCTCCTTTCCTTCACATCTTGTAAAAGAACTGGCTGGGCGCGGTGGCTCACGCCTGTAATCCCAGCACTTTGGGAGACTGAGGGGGACGGATCGCCTGAGGTCAGGGTTTCGAGACCAGACTGACCGACATGGAGAAACCCTGTCTCTACTAAAAATACAAAACTAGCCGGGTGTGGTGGCGCATGCCTATAATCCCAGCTTCTCAGGAGGCTGAGGCAAGAGAATGGCTTGAATGCGGGAGGCAGAGGTTGAGGTGAGCTGAGATTGCGCCACTGCACTCCAGCTTGGGCAACAAGAACGAAATTCCATCTCAGAAAAAAAAAAAATTAAGAAAAAAGATTTGAACACTTCTTTTTATCCCTGATTTATTGACTTTTTTGGACTTGTAATAGGAACACTACTACCAACAGAAGCAATTAGCGAATAGATGTTAAATCTATTCTCTAAATGAATTACTGCTTATTTTAAAGTTAATATTAATCAATTAGAGGAAATTTGGAAATTAAAAGACATATCAAGAAAAAAGTTAAAAATGACTTGCAATCCCTTCGAGAATTACCCATTAATGGCATTTTTGCTGTATTTCTTCTCAGTTCTTTCCCCTTCCCCTCCAGTATGTGTGAGTAGTTTATAGCCATATTTCATGAAGTTGGGTTCACACAATATGATTTCTTGGCTGTGCATGGTGGCTCACGCCTGTTGAGGCAGGATGATCACTTGAGCCCAGGAGTTCCAGACCAGCCTAGGCAACATAGTGAGACCCCATATCTACAAAGAATAAAAAATTATCCCGGTATGGCAGCACGTGCCTGTAGTCCCAGCTACTCGGGAGGCTGAGGCAGGAGAATCGCTTGAACCTGGGAGGCAGAGGTTGCGGTGAGTCGAGATCACACCGGTGCACTCCAACCTGGCAAGACTGAGACTCCATCTAAAAAAAAAAAAAAAAAAAAAGTTCTTTACAATTTCTTTTTTTACCCAGGAAAGTATGCATTTTCCCTATCTTGATTAAACAGTCTAAAATGTTTTAATGTCACCATAGTATTCCATTTTATAAATTTGTCAAAATTTGTTTAACCCTTATTGTTACATTTTCATGTTTTAAAATAGTGCTGCAGCTGTTGAGTGGAAAGGAAAATTTTTTTTCAGGTAGTTGACAACCAAAATATCCCCTTGATGGGTTCAGGCATACCCCACACCTCAGTTTCACGCAATATACCTTTGTAACTCACCTGCGCACGTACCCTCTGATTCTAAAATAAAAGCTGAAAAAAATCATCTAGTGTTTAAAAGAAATGATATACTATTTTTGGGCCAGGTGTGGTGGCTCACACCTGTAATCCCAGTTCTTCCGGAGGCTGAGGTGGGAGGATCACACAGGAGGATACACTGAGACCAGGAGTTCGAGACCAGTCTGGGCGACACAGTGAGACCCTCATCTCTACAATAATTAAAAAACAATTAGCTGGGCATGGTGGCTTGCACGTTTGTTTCCAGCTACTTAGGAGGCTGAGGTGAGAGGATTGCTTGAGCCCAGGAGTTTGAGGTTCAGTGAACCATGATGGTGCCACTGCACTCCAGCCTGGGTGACAGAGGTGTCTCTGTCTCAAAAAATATATAGACTATTGGAAATTTATAAATCACAGTTGTTGTACTGGCCCGAGCATAGAAAGTCAACACCAAGACAAAAGTATGCCAAATTGCAGGGTGTGTATTGCCAGGGGCCACAGAGGACTCGAGTCTCTCCAACTCATGGCCCCGAAAGGTGGGTATCAAGACCTTTTATACCCGTAAAATCACCTCGGGAGTGAGGGTGAGGGGCTTCAGATGTTCTGAGGTCTAGTGGATTCTGTTAATCACCTCCTGGGCGGAGATGAGGCTGAGGGGCTTCAGATGTTCTGAGGGCTAGTGGATTCTGTTAATCACCTCCTGGGTGGAGATGAGGCTGAGGGGCTCCGGACATTCCAGTGGATTCCTGGGTGAAGATGAGGGTGAGGGGCTCTGGACACTCTGAGGGCCAGGGGACTTGACGTTCTGATTGGTACTTAAGTGGTTCATAAAAGGCAAGATTAACATTTGTTTACACACTGTCTGGGTAGGGTGGAAATCATAGACCTTAATTACTTATTACAAGTCGCAGGGGCCAAGGTGGCGTGGGTTTGGACTGCTTGCCTGTCACATTTGGGTTACGGAGAGCAGTTTCAATAGAAAGCGGAGGTATGGTTGAGGTGAGCAGTTTTATGGGGCTTTTACCATGTCACACAGTGAATTACGTTTTTGTAGTACAATGTGATGTGTGATATATGTATACTGTTCAAGAGAAAAGCCTTAGGACTACATTTGACAGTTTAGTTGAACAGAAAAAAGATTCGTGAACCAGGTAGCACTGAGAACCAAAAATGCTTCAGAAATCACTGCTCCACAAGTGGGCGGGGAATATTGATAGCCAGAAAATGTACGTTTCAGGCAGAAACAGCCTGTCGGTTGCAGCCCTGCAGTTTCCTTCGCTGAACATGTTTTGGCAGCTCGTGAACTGTGAGGAGCCAAGACCTCCACCGCGGTGATTAGCCGAGGCTGGGCTACTTATGACCGGGGCATATTCTCAGTTCAGGTTGCGGGTTTTTTTTGTTTATCTATGTGAACCCCACATATTTGAGACAGGTCTCAGTTAATCTAGAAAGTTTATTTGCCAAGGTTGAGGTCAGGTGCCTATAACACAGCCTCAGGCTGCCCCCACGACATGTCCCCAAGGTGGTCAGAGCATAGTTTGCTTTTATACGTTTTTTTTTTGTTTTTTTTTTTAATGAGACAGAGTTTCGCTCTCATTACCCAGGCTGGAGTGCAATGGCACGATCTTGGCTCACCGCAACCTCCGCCTCCTGGGTTCAGGCAATTCTCCTGCCTCAGCCTCCTGAGTAGCTGGGACTACAGGCACGCGCCACCATGCCCAGCTAATTTTTGTATTTTTAGTAGACACGGGGTTTTACCATGTTGACCAGGATGGTCTCGATCTCTTGACCTCGGGATCCACCCGCCTTGGCCTCCCAAAGTGCTGGGATTACAGGCTTGATCCACTGCGCCCGGCCCCAGTTTTATACATTTTAAGGACACAGTGGACATCAGTCAGCATATGGAAGATGAACATTCGGTCGGGAAAGGCAGGACAACTCAAGCAAAGGTAAGACAGCTGGAGGCTTCCGGGTCGTAGGTGGGTAAGACACAATGATTGCGTTCTTTGCGTTTCTGCTTAGCCTCTCCAAAGGAGGCAATCAGATCGGCATTTAGCTCAGTGAGCAGAGTGGAAACTGGATAGATGCGAGGCAGATTTGCCCTAAGCAGTTCCTAGCCTTACTTTTCCCTTAGGCCTGGTGATTTTTGGGGGCCCCAATATTTATTTTCCTTTCACCCCTCTTAAGTTAGGTTACAGTGTGCTATATATGGAGGCAGCTTTATTTTATTTTAATTAATGAGATGGAGTTTTGCCCTTGTTGCCCAGGCTGGAGTACAATGGCGCAGTCTCGGCTCACCGCAATCTCGGCTCACCGCAATCTCTGCCTCCCAGGTTCAAGCAATTTCTGCCTCAGCCTCCGGAGTAGCTGGGATTACAGGCATGTGCCACCACACCTGGCTAATTTTGTATTTTTTTTTTTTTTTTTTTTAGTAGAGATGGGGTTTCACCATGTTTTTCAGGCCTGTCTCGAGCTCAGGTGATCCACCCATCTCGGCCTCCCAAAGTGCTGGGATTACACATGTGAGCCACTGTGCCTGCCAAGTTTTGTTCTCTTTAAGGTTGAATAGTACGCCACTGTGTATGGGCACTGCCTTTTCTGAGTGCATTCATCTTAGCCTGACTGATTTAGGCAGATTCCTCATTGTGGCTACTGTAAATGGGGCTGCAGTGAACATGGGAATACAGATATCCCTGATTTCAGTTCCTTTGGATGTATTCCCAGAAGTGGGATTGCTGGCTCATACAGTAGTTCTGTGTAGTTTTTTGAGGAATGTCCATGCCATTTTCCGTGGCGGCTGTGCTGTATGCTGGCAGTGTGCTAGGGTTTCCCTTTCTCCACATTCTGGCCAACACTTACCTTCCATCTTTTTCATAAGACCTGTTCTGATGAGAGTGAGGTGGTATCTCACTGCCGTTTTAATGTGCATTTTCCTAGATTCAGGTTGCCACTGGTCAGCTCTGGGCTCCAGAGCTTCTTTGCTCTTTTGCTGTTGTTTGAGTTCCTTATATATTTTGGATATTAGCCTCTTTTTTTTTGAGACAGAGTTTCGCTCTTGCTACCCAGGCTGGAGTGCAATGGCGCGATCTCGGCTCACCACAACCTCACCTCCTGGGTTCAGGCAATTCTCCTGCCTCAGCCTCCTGAGTAGCTGGGATTACAGGCACCTGGTGCCACGCCCAGCTAATTTTTGTATTTTTAGTAGAGACAGGGTTTCACCATGTTTTGTTTTGTTTTGTTTTTGAGACGGAGTTTCGCTCTTGTTACCCAGGCTGGAGTGCAATGGCGCGATCTCGGCTCACCGCAACCTCCGCCTCCTGGGTTCAGGCAATTCTCCTGCCTCAGCCTCCCGAGTAGCTGGGATTACAGGCACACGCCACCGTGCCCAGCTAATTTTTGTATTTTTAGTAGAGACGGGGTTTCACCATGTTGACCAGGATGGTCTTGATCTCTTGACCTCGGGATCCACCCGCCTCAGCCTCCCAAAGTGCTGGGATTACAGGCGTGAGCCACCGCGCCCGGCCTGGATATTAGCGTCTTGTCTGACGTATGGTTTGCAGAGTTTTTTTCTTACGACCTGGGTTGTCTCTACTTCGTTACTTGTTCCTTTTGCTGTACAGAAGACTTTGAGTTTGAGGCCATCCTGTTTGTCTATTTTGCTTTAGCTGTCTGTGTTTTTGGGGACATCCCCAAAAAACCATTGGCCAGATCACTGTCACGGAGCTTTTTCTCTATGCTTTCTTAGAGTAATTTTGCAGTGTCAGGCCTAATATTTAACTCTTTGATCCATGTTGGGTTGCTTTTGGGGCATGGTGTAAGCTAAGGGAATAATGATATTTCTGCATAGGAATAGCCACTTTCCCCAGCACCATTTATTGAATAGACTGTTCTTTCCCCTGGGTATGTTCTTCGTGCCTTTGTCAAAAGTCAGTCTGGGCATGGTGGCTTACGCCTGTAATCCCAGCACTTTGGGAGGCCAAGGCGGGTGGATCACCTGAGGTCAGGAGTTCAAGACCGGCCTGGCCCACACGGTGAAAACCCATCTCTACTAGAAATACAAACAATCAGCCAGGTGTGGTGGCATGCGCCTGTAATCCCAGCTACTTGGGAGGCTGAGGCAGGAGAATCACTTGAACCCAGGAGGCGGGGATGGCAGTGAGCCGAGATGGCGCCATTGCACTCCGTCCAGCCTGGGCAGCATTCCTCCTGTGTTCTGGGATATTCTGGAGACTATGCCCATCTGTACATAGTTGCTAGTTAGATTCTGTGGTGGGAAGTGGAGCTACAGTACTTGTTTCTTTTTTTTCGGAACAGAGTGTCACTCTGTCACCCAGGCGGCACTGCAGTGGCATCAGCATGGCTTCCCTGCAGCCTTGCCCTCTTGAGCTCAGTGATCCTCCAACCTCAGTCTCCTGAGAAACTAGGGCCACAGGCATACGTCACCACACCCGGCTCATTTTTAAGTTTTTTTTTTTGTAGAGATATGGAGTCTTGCTATATTGCCTAGGTTGGTCTCGAACTCCTGGACTCAAGCAGTCCTCCTGCCTTGGCCTCCCAAAGTGCTGGAATTACAGGCACCTGCCTGGAGTATTCTTATGTCTTGCTAATGTCACTCTCCCACCTACCATTAATTAATGGGAGAAACAAAAAGATCTTTAAAAGAATCGACGTTTTAATACATGGGGCTAGATGATTTCATCAAATACTCGTGACTGCTGTAATTTTTCTTATCGACATTCTATTTTCCTTTGTTTGTAAAACACGTGAATAGAATAGGTTGCCATAAAAGTGAATTTTGGAAACAGTCCCTTACACAGGACTTTGTGTGCACCTCTGGTCATTTCCTTCAGGTACAGCCCCAGAAGGAGAATCAGTGTTTGCCAGCATTCTTGTAGCTGCAGATGACTCAGTGCAGAAGCTTGGCGGGCAGGCAGCCTGAGGCCTGGCTGGGGCTGAGGCTTAGGCTGGTGGCCTCGGGATTCTGTCTCTTTCTCCGTCTCCTAGCTCTGTTTCCTTTCACTTGCTTTTTTCTTTGCCTGATGCGTTTTCTTCCTGCAGTGGAAAAGATGATCTGATTTGTGTTCATCCAGCTTAAAACCTTGCGTAAGAAGTCTAGGGGATGATGACAAGTGGCCCTGAGGGGGTCACAGGCCCATTGCTGAAACAGCTGCTAGGGCCGCTACAAGGCCAAGTCCTGGGTCACAGGACCACCCTTTGAGCCAGGAAATGGGTCATGGGTGAGCCCCACCCAGTCCTCATGGCTTGAAAACGGAAGAGGTTTTTGAAAAGAAAAGGTGAGTCTGCTAACAAAAGAAGGGGCCAGGAGAAGTGACAGCTGTCCACTGCAGCCATGGTTGAGGTTGTGGTGCAGGCTGTGAGGCGGGTGTGCAGGCTGTCGGCAGCAGAATCCGCTTCCCGTGCAGTGTGCGGGATGCTTGGGCAGTGGGCGTCACGTGAAAAGCTGGCCTCTGCTGGTTACCCTGGACCAGGAGGTTTTCACCTCGTGTAGCGACACAAAGGAAGCAGCGTGAGGTTTTCACCAGTGATTTCCTTAAATGGAAATAAAACAACCAGGATACCGTGCACCTTTAGGGGGACTAACACTGCAAATAGGCTCATTAAATAAATTGAAGGTAATTGATCTGCATTAAACTGCCTCACAGCTGCTTGTGAAAGAAAGAAAAAAAAAAAACAAAAAAAAATTTTGTGTCATCCTCAGCTCTGGGCCCCCGGAGATTCTTCAGTACTTGCTGTCTGTAGCCAGCGTCTCAGACTTGAACGTGCATATGGACCGCCTGGGAATCTTGTCAAAATGCAACTTCCGGTGAAACTGACCTCGTTGTGTGAGGTGTCACCTGAAGTTCTTGGTCCACAGCCAAGGAAATCAAGGACATGGACCCTCTAAAGGGGGCGCTAGAGCAGAAGTTAATAAGCAAGAGGACTGGCCAGAACACTCCCGGGGGATTCTTACCAGTGCTGCTGCAGGCACTCCCCCTGCGCAAGCCTCCTTGTCTGAGTACTTCCAAGAAGGGAGAGGACTGTGCCCACTGGGTCCCATTGTATGTCTGTCTGTCACACAGGAGGCCCCTTTCTGTCTTAGAACTTGCCTTCATTACCTGTGTTCGCAGCCTGATCTCCTTTGCTAAAAGAGAAATGACCTCTTGGGCTGCTTTTTGTTAGAAGGGAATCCTACCGAGGACCCCTGCCCTAACTTCCTGCCTAGTTGATTTCTGTCTCTCTCCTCTCACACCAGGTCAGCAGGTCCGCAGTGGGGCCTAATAGTTTGCCTTTTTAATAAGCTCCTAGATAATACTGATGCTTCAGGTCCCAGGACCTGCCTTTGAAGTAGCAATGTGTTACACAGGTGGTTCCCAATGCTTTAGCAAAACAGAATAAAAACATTTGGGATGCCGAGGCAGGCGGATCATGAGATCAAGAGATTGAGACCACCCTGGCCAACATGGTGAAACCCCATCTCTATTAAAAATACAAAAATTAGCTGGGCATGGTGGTGCGCACCTGTAGTCCCAGCTACTCGGGACGCTGAGGCAGGAGAATTGCTTGAACCTGGGAGGCGAAGGTTGCAGTGAGCCGAGATCGTTCCACGGCACTCCAGCCTGGTGCCTGACAACAGAGTGAGAATCTGTCTCAAAAAAAAAAAAAAAAAATGATTTGGGACCCCATTCTCTTCAAGATAATCATACTTTTAGTATCCATTGGTTGTGAAAACATGCTGAAAATTGCCAGGTATTCAAAAAAGATTTTACACGAACCTACATTTCTTTCTTTTTTTTTTTTTTTTGACACGGAGTTTCGCTCTTGTTACCCAGGCTGGAGTGCAATGGCGCGATCTCGGCTCACCGCAACCTCCGCCTCCTGGGTTCAGGCAATTCTCCCGCCTCAGCCTCCCGAGTAGCTGGGATTACAGGCACGTGTCCAGCTAATTTTTTTGTATTTTTAGTAGAGACGGGGTTTCACCATGTTGACCAGGATGGTCTCGATCTCTTGACCTCATGATCCACCCTCCTCGGCCTCCCAAAGTGCTGGGATTACAGGCTTGAGCCACCGCGCCCAGCCATGAGCCTACATTTCTATAGGTATGATATCTGCCTACATTTTGGCTCCTTTTCACAGAACACTAAAGGGCTGGGTGTTACGATATAGTCACAGCTGAGGCCATCTGCCTCTCATTTGTCCCTAAATGCACTTCAGTGTCAGCGCCTCCACCGGAACTGAAGGCTAGGAGGGTCTCTATGGCAGGTATCACTCGAGAAATATTTGGATTCTCAAGATGGCTTTTGGTTCATTTACTTCCTCAATAGGTTCTGGTGGATCTAGGTTCTTAGATCACAGGGGCTGCTAAGTTCTGCAAACTATAGAGTTGAGGCTTTTGTGGGGGTTATTGTTCAAGCAGCCTTTTAAGCATAAGACGGCTGCTATTCCGTAGTGTTTGAACATCTTGTGAAAGTGCCTGACGAGGCTCTCCGCTGTCAGGTAGGTGCTCTTGAGTGATGAAGGATGATGAAACTGGCTTGTTTTCTTTGGCCAAGATTTATTATCTTCTGCTGTGCCATGAAGACTTCCTGAACGCTGATCTGAGGAATGTGAACAAATCACTGTCCACAGAGCAACATGCGTAGTTTGTGGGTCCCATCCCAAAATAACACAGAACCTTTGGCTAAAAAAATTATTAAGAATTTCAGGTAGGGAACAGGAGAGGATAAAAGGAAGCCGGGGACTCTTCTGATCCAGGGCTCTGGGCCGTGACACGGGCCACGTGCTCATGAAGCGTCCGACTGTATATTTGCTATTCTTTTTTTTTTTTTTTGAGATGGGGTTTTGCCACATTGGCAGGCTGCTCTTGAACTCCTGGGCTCAATCCTCCCACCTCAGCCTCCCAAAATGCTAGGATTATAGGCATGAGCCACCATGCCTGGCTGTTTGCTATTTTTAAAAAATTCATTCATTCATTCATTCATTATTTTTGAGACAGAGTTTCGCTCTTGTTGCCCAGGCTGAAGTGCAATGGTGTGATCTCAGCTCACTGCAACCTTCACCTCCTGGATTCAAGCTATTCTCCTGCCTTAGCCTCCCGAGTAGCCGGATTACAGGTGCCCACCACCACGCTCGGCTAATTTTTGTATTTTCAGTAGAGACGGGGGGTTCACCATGTTGGTCAGGCTGGACTTGAACTCCTGACCTCGTGATCTACCCACCTCGGCCTCCCAAAATACTGGGATTACAGGCGTGAGCCACCAACCCTTGTTTGTTTGTTTTTTTAATTTTAGTTTATAAGACATGAGGTCTCACTATGTTGCCCAGGCTGGTCTTGAACTCCTCGGCTCAAGTAATCCTCCTGCCTTGGCCTCCCAAAGTTCTGGGGTTACAGTTGTGAGCCACTGTGCCTGGTCTGTTGGCTGTTTTTAACCCATTCATAGCCTTCATCTTCTTTGTTCCACTGTTGATGAAAATTGTATGGTGATGACATTTTAAAAACTGGCTTTTTGGACTCACTGGTGTAGACTGCGATTTCTGAAGTTTGATTGGTGAGATCAAACTGTTTCGGGTACCTTGCTTTTTGCTAAAACTTTTCCTCCCTTTTTCCAGCTTTTAAATATGTTCTAGTATATCCAAACTGAATGATCATTTATTGTTGATTTTGTAGCATATACGTTTGGACTTTTTCTATCTTATGATAATTTGATGTGGTAAAGTCAACATTCTACTTTTAGTTCATCTTCACAAGATGTGAAGAATTTGCAAAGTAAGATTTTTTTTTTTCTTGGAAGACTCATGGCTTAATTGTAATTGAATAATTAAAACTCAAATGCAATTCTGAAAGATTATTTATTTTAACATTATGAATACGAATGTACCAAAGAATTTTACAAAACATAGAATTGATATTATCTTAACTGTTATTTGGCCCTGAATTGTTTTTAAAATATTTTTATTTTTAAAATATTTAAAAATATTTAAATAAATATTATTTAAATAAATAGTTAACCCCAAAAGAATAGAATATTTCTTCCTAAACTATTTAGCAAATTGATTGTCCTTTATATATATATAATTTTCAATTTCTTCTTTTTAAAGCCCTTCAGTCTTAGACGTAACATTGACATAAACCATTCATTCTTGCAGCTTCATACTTTTGCAGTAAAAATTATGCTTTTATACCTCAAAATATAAAACAGACGGGATTTCCCGAGGTATGTGTAGAATATTTGCTACTGGATGCTCAATATTAACGGTTAGTTCAAGTGACCTTCCTCTTTGCTGGTCAGATGCAGTGGTAACCAAAGTGACCGCTTGACCTCTCGCAAGTGCAGACATCCGAGAAATGACACTGAGTGAGCATTTTGTTTGTAACTGGCCTTTCAAGCGGGGAGGCCAGCGCCGAAGCCACAGAGCAGATCTTGCTGAATGATGATGTCGAAGTCACACTTTGGAGCTTTCATGCTTTTTTTTAATCTCAAAAATTTGTCTCCATACAGCGCTTAGAATGTATGTGGTAGGTGGCCCGTCCAGAGATGGGAACACTGATCTATTCACATGACTTGTGGTTTTCATATTATGTCTTTCATTGTTTGCTGTTTAATGCCTGCTCGTTTTAACATACTTGGTACACTGGGGGGCTTTCTGCAGCTTATTTCTACCTGAGTATTCCTCATCTATTTCACTAGAGGGCAATGTCTGCAATACATAAAGCAATACTTGGCTTTTGCGGTTCTCACTAGATTTTGCCTGTCTGAGCTTTGGGGAAGGGTATTCTGCCTTTTAAGGGTCAATCAAAACGAGTGTTGCTGGGGGAAAATTGTGAAGTGGTTTGTGATTCAGATCTATTACCTATCACATAGGCTCTGCCTGTGCCCTGTGCAGTGAGAATTGTTCCCTCAGGCCCGTGGCTCTTTTCCTCAGACCATTGGCCTTGATTCCGAGGTCCAATTCATTCATGAATTGATTAATAATAACACAAACACTTAGGAAACTCCTTCACCTCCAAACTAGAACGTTGCTCGCGGTGATGAGCCCTCTGCCTCACCCTCGGCCTTCCCCTCGGAGAAAACTGCCTGGCTTTGCGATGTTCATTATCTGTTTAAGGAGTTTTTTTTCACACACGTATATTGATGCATAAACAACATCATGTTCCATTCCCTTGAGTTTGAATCTATAAAAAGAAATAATGGGCCAGGCGCGGTGGCTCAAGCCTGTAATCCCAGCACTTTGGGAGGCCGAGGAGGGTGGATCACGAGGTCAAGAGATCGAGACCATCCTGGTCAACATGGTAAAACCCTGTGTCTACTAAAAATACAAAAAAGTAGCTGGGCATGATGGCGCGTGCCTGTAATCCCAGCTACTCAGGAGGCTGAGGCAGGAGAATTGCCTGAACCCAGGAGGCAGAGGTTGCGGTGAGCCGAGATTGTGCCATTGCACTCCAGCCTGGGTAACGAGTGAAACTCCATCTCAAAAAAAAAAGAAAAAGAAATAATGTTATCTATTGTCTTTGGAGAATTGCTTTTTTGAGTCAGCATTGTTTCTGAGGCTCGCCGTGTCCTGACGTGTTCCGTCCTTACTTGATTTTCCCTGCTGAGAGAGTGAGCGGCTGCCCCACTTCGTGAGTGTCTTACCGCTCAGGCCCCAGTGCTCTGCCCATCTGGTTGAGCACCTGAGTGGTTTGCATGTTTTTCCTGTCACAGACGTTGCTGCTGTGCACATTGTTAGAAAGGTGTCCAGGACCTGCACAAGAATCTCTCTTGGATGTTTTCAGTTGAAATTGAGTGAATGTACAACTCATTAAGACAATGGCAAATCGTTTCCCAAACAATTGTATTATTTTACACCCCTTTCCTGTTAATGATCCTATTTATCTACATCCTTTCCAACACTCGGTTAGACGAAAATTTTTGTTGTTTAATAGATATATAATAATTGCACATCTTTCTGGTGTAGTGAGGGATGCTTTGATGCATGCATACATTACGTAACAGCCGAATCGGCAGGGTGTGGTGGCTCACACCTGTAATCCCAGCACTTTGAGAGGCCAAGGCGGGTGGATCACCTGAAGTCAGGAGTTTGAGACCAGCCTGACCAACGTGGTAAAACCCCCATCTCTACTAAAAATACAAAAATTACCTGGGCATGGAGGCAGACACCTGTAATTCTAGCTACTTGGCAGGCTGAGGCAGGAGAATTGCTGGAACCTGGGAGGCAGAGGTTGCACTGAGCCAAGATCACGCCATTGCACCCCAGCCTGGGCGACAGGAGTGAAACTCCATCTTAACAAAATAAAAGAAAATAAATAAACAAAACAGCCAAAATCAGGGCATTTAGCATATCTATCACCTCACACGTTTATTATTTATCTGTGGTAAGAATATTCAAAACTCTCTTCCAGCTATTTTGAAATATACGTTATTGTTAACTACAGTCTCCAATGGAACACCTGCACTGTTTCCTCCTAATTGGAACTTTGTATACGTTGAAGGTCTCTCCTAGCCCACTTCTCCAGCCCTCCCCAGCCTCTGCTAAGCACTGTTTACTCTCTTCCTTTATGAAATCAAGGAATTTAGCTCCTGTGAGTGGGAACATGTGGTCTTTGCCTTTCTGTGCCTGGTTTATTTCATTTAACATCCTGTCCTCCAGTTCCATCGATGTTGCTACAAATGGCAGAATGTTGCTACTTTTTTATGGCTGAATAATATTCCGCTGTGTATATATATCAGTTTTTCTTTTTCTTCTTCTTTTTTTTTTTTGAGACAGAGCCTCACTGTCACCAGGCATGATCTTGGCTCACTGCAACCTCCGCCTCCAGGGTTCAAGCAATTTTCCTGCCTCAGCCTCCTGAGTAGCTGGGACTACAGGCACACCCCACCATGCCTGGCTGTTTTTTTTTTTGATAGAGACGGATGGGGTTTAACCATGTTGGCCAGGATAGTCTTGATCTCTTGACCTTGTGATCCACCTGCCTTGGCCTCCCAAAGTGCTGGGATTACAGGTGTGAGCCATCGCACCCGGCCAACAGTTTCTTTTCTTTTTTGAGATGGGAGTTTCAATCTTGTCGCCCAGACTGGAGTGCAGTGTTGCTAGTTTGGCTCCTAGTAACCTCTGCCTTCCAGGTTCAAGCCATTCTCTTGCCTCAGCTTCCCAAGTAGCTGGAATTACAGGCATGTGCCACCACGCCTGGCTAACTTTGTATTTTTAGTAGAGGCAGGGTTTTGCCATGTTGGTCAGGCTGGTCTCAAGCCCCTGACCTCAGGTGATCCACCTGCCTCGGCCTCCCAAAGTGCTGGGATTACAGGTGTGAGTCACCGCGCCCGGCCTGTGCCACAGTTTATCCATTCCCCTGTGATGGACATTGAGGTCGATTCTGTGTCTTGGGTCTTGTGAAGAATGCTGCAGTAAACACGAAAGTGCAGATACCCCTTGGATGCGCTCATTTCCTTCCTCTGGGGTATAAATCCAGCCGTGAGATCGCGGGATCGGATGGTTATACCTACTTTTGGTTTTTCAAGGGACCTCCATGCTATTTTCCATAGTCGTGTTACCGGGAGAGGGCAGGGTCCTCAGTTCTTGTTTTCTTGGAAGAAAGAACGCAACCGAGAGGCACAAGGGCCAAGTAGCATTTTATTGGAGGAAGATAAAGCACGTTTGGAGAAGGAGCAGCTGGCCTGGATGGAAGGCGGCGGCAGTCGCAGCCCCGAGGTTTATTCAGACACAGCACACTCTGGAAGGCAGGCGGAGCTGCTTATGTTGAACTGTCCTCGAATCCCGTAACGGCTCCCACTCGGTCACCATGGATGACGTAGCTGTGGGATTTGGTTTCGTGGTACTATGTTGAGGATTTTCCTGTCTGTTCAACAGGGGACTGGCCTGTAGTTTTCTTTTTTCATCGTTGACTTGTCTGGTTTTGGTATCAGAGTAATGCTGGCCTTACGAGTTTGAAAATGTTCTCCCCTCTTCAATTATTTGGAAAAGTTTGAATAGAAGTGGTATTAGTCCTTTAAATGTGTGGTGGCCGGGCGCAGTGGCCCAAGCCTGTGATCCCAGCACTTTGGGAGGCCGAGGCGGGTGGATCACGAGGTCAGGAGATCGAGACAATCTTGGTCAACATAGTGAAACCCCATCTCTACTAAAAACACAAAAAATTAGCTGGGCATGGTGGCGCGTGCCTGTAGTCCCAGCTACTCAGGAGGCTGAGGCAGGAGAATTGCCTGAACCCAGGAGGTGGAGGTTGCGGTGAGCCGAGATCGCGCCATTGCACTCCAGCCTGGGTAACAAGAGCGAAACTCCGTCTCAAAAAAAACAAAAAACAAAAAATAAATGTGTGGTCGAATTCAGCAGTAAAGCGATCAGGTCCCAGCTTTTTTTGCTGGGAGAATTTAAATTACTGCCACAGTCTCCTTACTCAGGTTTTCTCTTTCTTCATGGCACAATCAGAATAGATTCTGTGTGTCCAGGAATTTATTCATTTCTTCTGGGTTTTCCAGGTGTTTACCATTTGGTTGTTCATGATATCATCATAGTTTCTAACAATCCTTTTTTTTTTTTTTTGAGAAGGAGTCTCACTCTGTCGCCAGGCTGGAGTGCGGTGGTGCGATCTTGGCTCACTGCAACCTCCACCTCCTGGGTTCAAGTGTGCCTGCTTCAGCTTTAGAAGTAGCTGGGTTTACAGGCATGCACCAGCATGCCTGGCTAATTTTTTATTTTTATTTTTAGTAGAGATGGGGTTCCACTGTGTTGGCCAGGCTGGTCTCAAACTCTTGACCTCAGTGATCCACCTGCCTCAGCCTCCCAAAGTGCTGGGATTACAAGAGTCAGCCACTGAGCCTGGTCTGGTTTTTTTTTCCCCCTGAAATGGAGTCTCTCTCTGTTGTCCAGACTGGAGTGCAGTGGTGCGATCTTGGCTCACTGCAACCTCTGCCTTCTGGGTTCAAGTGATTCTCTTGCCGCAGCCTCCCAAGTAGCTGGGACCACAGGCATGTGCCACCACTATTACAGTTAGATAGGAGGAACAAGGGCAGGTGTTCTGTCAGAGACTGTAGTTTACAATACTGTATATTTCAAAATAGCTAGAAGAGAGTTTTGAATGTTCTTACCACAAATCAATAATAAATGTGTGAGGTGACAGAGACGCTCACTGCCCTGATTTGGCTGTTTTTGTTTTGTTTTGTTTTGTGTTTTGAGATGGAGTTTTACTCTTGTTGCCTAGACTAGAGTGCAATGGTGCTATCTCGGCTCAGTGCAACCTCCGCCTCCTGAGTTCTAGTAATTCTCCTGCCTCAGCCTCCCGAGTAGCTGGGATTACAGGTGTGTGCCACCACGCCCAGCTAATTTTTGGGTTTTTAGTAAAGATGGACAGACACTTAGGTTTCACCATGTTGGCCAGGCTGGTCTTGAACTCCTGACCTCAGGTGATCCACCCACCTTGGCCTCCCAAAGTGTTGGGATAACAGGCATGACCCACCACGCCTGGCCTCTAATAATTCTTTGTACCTCTGTGGTATCAGGTGTAATTTCTCCTTTTTGGCTCTGATTTATTTATTTGAGTCTTTTTCTCTTCTTAGTTTAACTAAAGAGTTTTTTATTTTGTTTATCTTTTCAAAAAACCAACTTTTTGTTTTGTTGGTCTTTTGATTTTTTTTTTTGAGACAGAGTGTTTCTCTGTCTCCCAGGCTGGAGTGCAGTGGCGTGATACCGGCTCACTGCAATCTCCTCCTCCCAGATTCAAGCAATTCTCCTGCCTCAGTCTCCCAACTAGCTGGAACTACAGGTGCTGGACACCATGCCCAGCTCATTTTTCATATTATTAGTAGAGACGGGGTTTCACCATGTTGGCCAGGCTGGACACAATGAATGCTTTTTTAAGAGACAGGGTCAGGCTTGGAGTGGTGACTCATGCCTGTAATCTCAGCACTTTGGGAGGCCTAGGTGGGTGGATCACCTGAGGTCAGGAGTTCAAGACCAGCCTGGCCATCCCATCTTTTTAAAAAATAAAAATAAAAAAAGAGAGACAGGGTCAGGCCGGGAGCGGTGGGTCATGCCTGTAATCCCAGCACTTTGGGAGGCTGATATCAGTGGATCGCTTGAGGTCAGGAGTTCAAGACCAGCCTCGCCAACTTGGTGAAACCCCGTCTCTACTAAAAATACACAGCTGCGTATTGTGGTGTGCACCTGTAATCCCAGCTACACAGGAGGCTGAGGCAGGAGAATTGCCTGAACCCAGGAGGCGGAGGTTGCGGTGAGCTGAGATCGCGCCATTGCACTCCAGCCTGGGTAACAACAGCGAAACCTAAGTTTTCTTTTGTGGGTGATGGAAAATGTTCTAAAAACTAGATTGCAATACTGGGTGTACAACAATCACTTGAACCCAGGAGATGGAGGTTGCAGTGAGCTGAGATCAGTGAGCTGAGATCACACCATTGCACTCCAGCCTGGGCAAAAAGAGTGAAACTCCATTTCAAAAAAGAAAATAAAAGAGGGACAGGATCTTACTCTGTTTCTAGGCTGGAGTGCTGTGGCACTAGCAAAACTCACTGTGGCCTCAAACTCCTGGGCTCAACTCATCCTCCTGCCTCAGTCTCCCAAGTCACTGGGACTACAGGTACATGCCTCCATGCCAGACTAATTTTATTTTTATTTTTAGAAACAGGGTCTTGCTATGTTGCCTAGACAGGTCTTGAACTCCTGGCTTCAAGCTCTCCTCCTGTCTCAGCCTGGGATTACGGGTGTGAGCCACTGTGGCTGGCTTTCCGTTCTCTGTTTCTAGGAGATAAGCTTTTTTAGTTGTCACATGTGAGTATGAACATGTGGCGTTTATCTTTCTGCTCCCAGGTTATTTCACTTAATGTAACGTTCTCCAGGCTCATCCGTGTTGATGTGAGTGACAGGGTTTCATTCTCTTTTAGTGGCTAAAGTGCATTCCATTGTATTTGTATAGTCCACCTTTTTTATCCATTCGTCTTTTGACAGACAGGTTGATTCCATATGTCAGCTGTTATGAGCAGGGCCACAATAAACAAGAGAGTGCGGATGTGTCTTCAACACACCGATTCCCTTTCCTTTGCATATTCAGCAGTGGGATTACTGGATCAGATGATACAGCTATTTCTAGGTTTTTAAGGAGTCTCCGTACTGTTTTCCATCATGGCTCCACTAATTTACATGCCCACTGGTCCTGAGTTGATTCCTCACTCGAGCAGCATGGCAGCTGGACTTAAACCCTGTCCCACTTGTCCACATCTGGCCCGTCACTTGCCAGTTGGGTGACCTTGGGAAAGGCACTCACTTCTTTCTCAGTTTTCTCATCTGTCCAATGGGTATATAACAGTAATTAATTCACATGGCTGTGTAAGGATAGGAAGACAGTACATATAAAAGACTTTCACCTTTTATAAGAAATAGTGCTTAGATGTTACCCATATTATCACTTTATTTTATTACATCTTATTTATTTAGATACAAGGTTTCATTCTGTTGCCCAGGCTGGAGTGCAGTGGCACAATCATAGTTCACTGCGGCCTCGAACTCCTGGCCTCAAGCGGTCTCCTGAGCATTTTGGGACCACAGGCGTGCACCACTATGCCCATCTAAAGTTTTTTGATTTTTTTTTTTTTGTAGAGATAGCATCTTACTATGTTTCCCAGGCTGATCTTGAACTCCTGGGCTCAAGTGATCCTCCCGCCTCGGCCTTCCTAAGCGCTGGGATTACAGGCCTGAGCCACCGTGCCAGGCCTCAGCTCTGAATCTCTGGGGTTAGTCATGGAACCCTAATTTGTTCATTTAGCGATGTCATGTTCCTCTGACTGATCTTGCTTCTTAGGGCTGTGTGCCAATGTCCGTGCATTGACACAGGTACCGAAGCCAGTCTTCATCATGCGGCTTTGTTTGGGCTCTTCTTTCATCCGAGATTAAGGAGAGGCTGATTGCTCAGGACCCTAAGCCCATGACTGCATCAGCTGTTGTAGTGCCAGGGCATGCCCTAAGTCCGGGATCACTGTGGTTGGAATTCTCTGGTCTCTGAGACCGACACAGCCCGGGTCACGCCTGAAGGCCATGGCTGCTGAGACCCGCACAGCACTGGGCTCGCCCAAGACCCATGGCTGCGATGGCTTGCCTGCTACTGCTGAGGTTTATTCAGCACCCAAGGTCCCTGTAGCTGGTAGGTGGTGATGTGGGCCAGACCCCAAGTCCCTGTCGCTGGGGTGCGTGTTGTCATCTGGCACTAGGGTGGCGTGAGATCTGCCTGTGGGTACTGGTCTAGTATCAGGGAGCTGAGGCTCTGCCCAGTACTGGGTTTTACTGTAGTGAACCTAGTACTGCGTTCCCAGGCAAAGTCCTCAACCTACCTCTTTTTCCCTAAGCAAACAGTGTCTCTCTTCATGCTGCTGTGCTGGGGTTGGGGGAGGGGTGCACGGGTAACCCTATGGCCACCGAGGCTGACACAATACTGGGTCACACCCAGAGTCCACTGCCGTGAGACCAGCCCAGTGCCCGAGGCCTGTGGGTGCCAGCGCCTGCCTGGAGCTGAGGTTTATCTGAGGCCTGTGACGGCTGCAGCCGCAGTGATGCGGCCCGAACACAGGTCTGTGCTACAGGGCCGCAGTTTCCCTTCCGGTGTGGGGCAGGTTGAGAGGCTTCCTCTGTGGGTGCCAGCCTGGCATCAGGGGCTGAGTTTCTGCTCAGTGCTGGCATTTACTGAAGTGGGCCTGATCCTGGGCTGCAAAGCGGAGTCCCATGCGGGCTTTCCTGTCCTTCCCCAAGAAGGCGTTCTGGGTTAGGATTTGGCAGTCCGCTCTGAGGAAGAATGAATGGAAACTCGGGGGACCCAGAGTAGGGGATGTGTAGCCTAGCTGTCATTTCCAGCCTAGAGCTCTATGCATCAACCTCCCCAAACAGTTACCTCCCGCTAAGCCCTGGCTCTTTGGCATCAGAATGGATTACATGAAACATACACATTCCCCCTTCTCGAATCCTTACCTCCTGCATTGCGTTTTCACAGCGATCCCATTGTGCCTGGCTCACTCCCATGAGCTCTTCCTGGAAGTGAGGTGGTGCTGTCCTGCACATCGGCCTGGCAGCTGCGGCCTGCGGTTTTGGAGTGATCACGAATGGGCAAGGCGTTTGGGCTCCTGGGACAAACCTGTCAGTCAAACCTGGCTGAGTCTCCACGGTCCCCAGCAGATCCTGTTGGAAAGAAGGAAGCAGACAGCAACATGAAGAGGAAGGGAGAGCAGCCCGGAGCGCGTCCTGGGGCCTGGGAATACCCTCATGGTCATTAGACCCCTCCCATTCTCCTCTTCCTGGCTGCATGTCTTTTATTTATTATAAACAAATAAATATATATTTGTTTATAATAAACATGTATATTTATCATATGCTTATTAAATATATAATAAATATATTTATATACTAAATATATAATATATAAATTTATTATATATTTATTTATTAAATATTTATTATATAAATAATAAATTATTTATTTATTTTTTAAGACGGGGTTTCACCATGTTGGTCAGGCTGGTCTTGAACGCCTGACCTCAGATGATCTGCCCGCCTTGGCCTCCAAAGTGCTTGGATTACAGGCGTGAGCCACCACGCTCGGCCCTGACTGCATGTCAATGCTTGCCTCGCCCCCTTCGCTCTGAAGCAGCAGAGCATCCTGGCTGATGGCACCGGCTTTCTTGGGCCTGAATTTCTGCGTCTTTTAGACGGGGATACAGCCTGGGCTATGGTGAAATCCTATCTCTAAAAAGCAAAACCAAATGGGGACAATGGTAGCAGCAAGCACATGGGTGCTGGGAGGATTCAGTGGGGTCCTCTGTGGAAGCTGCTTTCAGCCAGCGCTGGGCGTCTAGTGGCAGTTAGTTCCCATGTCTACTGCTGAGGTCCCTTTGTACTGGATGCGGAAATCTGTGCTCACCTGCAGCCCCCAATTTTTACTTTTTTATTGCCCTATCTCATAAGCCAAAGCCCTTTCCCCAAGAAGTCTGAGATTAGTGGTACTCTCTCCCTCTTAAATTGCCCACCTTGTGGGGTCTGCGGAGCCTAAGGTGGGTTGGAAGAGGGGAGGTTGGGTGCCAGGGTTCAGGGAAATGTCGCCTTTTGTTTTTCTCCTATTCTTGTAAGTTCCTTCTGCCTTTCGGCCTCTCGGGGTGAGACTGGATTAGGCGAATCTTCCCCACAGCTGCCTTCTGATCTCCTGCCTCCCAGTGGTGGGGACTGGGCAGGGACCTCTCCACTGGAGTCCGACAAAGACAAACTGGGGAGTTCCTCTTGTCCGTGAGCCCCGCAGATTCACATTTGGACTCGGCTCTGAGGAGAGCACTTGGAATGAGGGAGCCCATAATTCCCAGTCATGCTTTCTCTGATGTTTCTTTGTCTCCCCCAACAACGGCTTGCCCTACTCATTTGGCCGTGAATAATTTACATTTTTGGTGACATCTCACTTCATCTATTGGGCTATTAAAACTTTTCTTATTACTGAACTTTTTTTTTTTTGAGATGGAGTTTTGCTGTCACCTAGAGTGCAGTGGCACGATCTTGGCTCACTGTAACCTCCGCCTGCCAGGTTCAAGCAATTCTCCTGTATCAGCCTCCCGAGTAGCTGGGATTATAGGTATGTGCCACCATGCCCCGGCTAATTTTTGTATTTTTAGTAGAGATGGAGTTTCACCATATTGGCCAGGCTGGTCTCGAACTCCGACCTCAGGTGATCTGCCTGCCTCTGCCTCCCAACGTGCTGGGATTACAGGTGTGAGCCAGTGCGCCTGGCCGGTGTTATCTTCTGTTCAATTTGTTTGCAAGCTCTTGAATGAACGCTTTGTACCTCTAAGAGAACTTTACAGGATTTCATGTCCTTAGTAGATTTAAGAAAAACATTTGATTTTTTCAACCTTTTTTTTTTTTGAGATGGAGTTCTACTCTTGTTGCCCAGGCTGGAGTGCAGTGGCGCAGTCTTGGCTCACTGGAACTTCCGCCTGCCAGGTTCAAGCCATTCTCCTGCCTCACCCTCCTGAGTGGCTGGGATTACAGGCACCTGCCTTGACGCCCAGCTGATTTTTGTATTTTTAGTAGAGACCGGGTTTTCACCATGTTGGCCAGGCTGGTCCTGAACTCCTGACCTCAGGTGATCCGCCTGCCTCGGCCTCCCAAAGTGCTGGGATTACAGGTGTGAGCCACCGCACCCAGCCTTGTCAACTTCTTTACCTAGGGCTTGCCCTCAGCATTTTTTCCTCTTCCCCTTACAGGCCTGGTTGGTTTACACAACATTGGACAGACCTGCTGCCTTAACTCCTTAATTCAGGTGTTTGTAATGAACCGGGACTTCACCAGGATACTGAAGAGGTAAGACTCCTCTGCAGGCTGGTAAGCCTGTGTATTAATTCATTTTTAACATGTTTCCTTATTCACAGTCACTTGGACTTTTTGAGATCTCTCAAAAGAGGGCAGAGGAAAGATCTGTTTCTGCATATTCTGGACTACACATTATTTCTAAAACTTCTTAGGTTGGTCTGGGGTGGGGCCCGGGTATTGGCACTTTTTAAAAGCACTCCTTGGGTGATTTTAAAGTGCAGCCAGGATTGATGGCCACTGACTTGGTTAAGAGAGAGAGTTGGAACTAGACCGATGTCGGGAAGGAGTCAGTGGGCAGGACACCCCTCCCTTCCCCCAACACTCACACAATGTGCTCGCTCTCTCTCTCTCTCTCTCTCTCTCTCTCTCTCTCTCTCTCTCTCTCTCTCCCCCTCTCTCCCCCTCTCTCCCCCTCCCTCCCCCTCCTTTCCTGCCCCCTGCTCTCCTTTGTCCCATCCAGGTAGTGCCTGTAAGTAAATGAATCATTGCCAAACCACACGGACAGTGCTTCATGCTGCCCCTTCTTCCCAGGACCTACCCCAGCATGCGCCTCTGCAGTTGGGAGAGCTTTAGGCTGGACGTTTTGCTTCTTGCCCAAGATGTGGAGCCAGGACCTTGGGCAGGGTGCAGAGGGACCGAGGCAGCAGTTGTGCTGATCCCCCTCTCCAGAGGGTCCCCTGTACAGCAGAGCCACTCACGTGGTGCTTTTCAACCTTGGCCACACATTGAAATAATTTGGGGAACTGAAACATTCTGGTAACCGGGCTCCACCCCCCAGAATTCTGGTGTAATTTGTATGGGAGTGGCCTGGATAGGGAGATTTAAAATTTTTCCCAAGTGATTGCAGCGTGCACCTAGCTTCAAGAGCTACGCGTAAGGTTTCTGGCCATTCTTGCGTGGCAGGATCACGGTGCCCAGGGAAGCTGACGAGCAGAGGAGAAGTGTCCCTTTCCAGCTGCTTCTGCTGTTGGAGAAGATGCAGGACAGCCGGCAGAAAGCAGTGCGGCCCCTGGAGCTGGCCTACTGCCTGCAAAAGTACAACGTGCCCCGTAAGACACCCTCGCTGATCCGAAGGGGGTGGGAAGCTTAGGGACAGAGAGGAACTGACGCCAGGGAAGCAACAAGAAGCAAGTGAGGCAGCCTGGACCTCACGGATGAGACATTTGTGTAAGAGGCACACATTTTTGGAGGTGCAGAGTCGATATCATTTATGGACATTTTATTTTCATATCACCCTTTTTCTGCTTCTCAGTGGAGTAAGCGAAGGCATCTCCTCCAAGCTTATTCAGCCATAGTTAAGGAATGGCAGGAAAACAGAATAAAGGAGTAAAAGACAGAATGTTCTGCAAAATAATTCATAAATAGGTGTTTTTTTACATGCTGTATTGAGATGTGCATCACATACTGTAAAATCCATCCATTTAAAAACCTACAATTCAGAGGTTTGTAGTGTAGTCACAGAGATGTGCCTCTGTCATCATGATCTGTGTTCATGACATTTTCCTCACTCCCAAAAGGAATCCCACACTTAGGGCTTTCCCTTGGGTGTAACACAGTGCTTTTCTCTCGCTGCTTCCAGAAGTCTTTAACTTTTGAAACTGATTATGATGTGGCTTGGTGTGGGCTGCTTGAGATCAGTCTTATGGTGTCCTTTGGGCTTCCTGGATGTGGATTTCTATTTCCTTCCCTGGGTTGGGAAGTTTTCAGTCATTACAGTTATGTGTTGCTTAGCAATGGAGATATGTTCTCAAAAAGGCATCAGTAGGTGATTTTGTCATTGTGTGAACATCGTGGAGCGGACTTCAGTAACCTAGATGGGGCAGCGTACTAAATGCCTCGGCTGTGTGCTGTGGCCACTGTGCTTCTGTGTTCTGCCATTGACCGAAATGTTAATCTCCACCCATGACTGTTACTTCCTTTGGATAAGCTTTCTGTCTCTTCTCACTCTCCTCCTTCTGGCACTCTGATAATGCCTGTTTTAGTCTGCTCAATGTCCCATAAGTCTCTTGAAGATCTCTCCACTCTTTTTCATTCATTTTTATTTTTGCTTCTCTGAATGATTTCCAGCGGCCCGTCTTCCAGTTTGCTAATCCTTTCTTCTGCTTGATTTAGTCTGTTGAGCTTCTTTAGTGGACTCGCATTTCAGTGATTGTATTCTCCAGCTCTATTATTTCTGTTTGGTACTTCGAACTTTTTTCTGTCTCTGCTGAAATTCTTACTTTATTCAGGCTTTGCTCTTCTAGACCTGGTGTGCGTCTTCATGGTCATTATTTTGAATAGTCTATAAGCTAAGTCCCTTATCTTCATTTCACCGGGGCATTTTCCGGAGATTTATCTTGTTCTTTTGCTAGGAACATATTTCTCTGTTTCTTCATTGTTCTGGATTCTGTTATTTCTGCACATTAGGTAAGAAAAATACCTCTCCCAGTCTTGTCCCACGGGCCTTGTAGCCCTGCCCGAGACTCGGAGCACCTCTGGACCCTTCGTCTTGTCTGAACTGCCGTCTGTGTTCTCAGCGGCCCTCAGGAGATTAGAACGTGTCAAGTCCTGATAGTGCCCCGGACAGGGGAGACAGAAGCCCGTTGAGATGCAGCTGGAGACACTGGGGGTAGTACATGTGTGTTTCAGTTTATTCTATCCCCGGAAAAGCTGGGAGCCTGAGTTTATCCCCCGCTGGCTCTGTGATAAGCCGGACAGAGGATCTGTGGCAAGTGCCTGCACTCCCGTTGAAGCTGCACACTCCTTTGATGCATTGCTTGGCTCTGTCACCCCGGGAGCCTAGCAAATGCTGGCTCCTGTCCGCTTAGAGACGGACAGGTTAGTTGGAAGCTTGGTGCTATCTGTGGAGCAAACCAGTGGGAGCAGCTGTGGCAGTGCTCACCTACCGGTTCAGGGTCTCCGAGGAGTCCTGGTTTCCTGCTCTGTCAGCTCCCAGATGCATGGAGACCCCAGGGCAGCAGCTGGACATGTGCAGACAGATGCCTTCTGGGAAGAAGGTGGGAGCCGGGCATTTCTGCCTGTTTGCGCTGCACTGGGGGTTAGCACTGGAAGTGCGTGCATGCCCATCTCAAAACTGTTCTTCGCTCTCTGCGCACTTGTGGGACTCACAAATACAGAGCTTCGTCAGCTCCCAAAGCTGACTGAGGAGCTAGTCCTTTGTTTGAGAGGGGTAAATGTTGTATACTCAATGTGTGAAGTTAGAGACCTGATTTTATCCTGGAGCAGGGGGTGGGAGAAGGCATGGGCCTTGCCCGCGTGCCTGTCCAGGCACCTGGAAATCTATCGTTTACCTGCCTCATTGGCTCCAGGTGCCGGCTAGTTATTAATAGAAGCCCATCCGTCACCTCGGGCAGCAGCTAGGAGAACCTGCAGACATACCCTTGCAGGGAGAAACTGGGAGCCTGGCATTTCTGCCTGTTTGCTGGAAGTGCTCATGTGCCCATTTAAAACTCTCTTTGCCCTCTGTGGTTGCAGAGGATTCATGGCCGCTGACCCATGTCCACTCCCAGAGCTGGGTGACGTAGCAGCCAAGCCCTTGAGTGGGAACTGCAAAAGCCCGGCTATGTGTGGTCCAAACCCTTCACTCTTCAGGAGGAAGGTGGGAGTAGGGATTCCTCCCTCATAGTCAGGTACTGTGTGGAGGGTGCGGCTCGCGGTGGGAGCACGTCTCAGCGGGTCCAGCCCCCGCAATGTGGATGTTTTCTCCATTGCCCCATGTGCGGGACTCTCGGCTAGTTTCTGGGTTTCTTTCAGAACGAGTTGATCTGTGTGTAGGTGGGAGTTTTTCCGAGTGTCCACAGGAGAAGAGAGCACCAGGAGCCCCCTTTCCTGCCATCTCGCTTATGTCACCCTCTGCGATTGTTTTTGTTGAATTTGATTCACTGGTATTTTCTTGAGGAATTTTGCATTTATGTTCATGAGAGATTCTGGTGTCTAGGTTTTTTTTCCTTATCTGTCTGGTCTTGGTATTAGGATAATGCTGGCCCCCCGAGAAGGCGTTAGGAAGTGTTCTCTCTGCTTCTGTCTTCTGGAGGAGATTGTAGGGAATTGGCATAATTTCTCCCATAAATGTTTGTTAGAGCCCATCATTCACTAGGGGACCCATCTGGGTATAAATGAGCACTCCCAGTTTCTAAGACAGTTTGTTTTTCTTATTGTTACTGTCTTTTCACTTCTCCTCTTCCCTCCCCACCCTCCCAATCCCCGTGTTTCCTGTTCGCCCTTTAGAAATATAAATATCTCGCCTTTTACCTCCCCCTCACCAGACATTTTCTGCAGGGCAAAAGAAAGAATCTGTAAACCTGGGGATGGGTTGATTGAGGTGTGATTGAGAACAGGGCACCTTCTTCCAGCTGATCTTTCCTGAGACTTCGCAGATTTGCAGCCCAAAGCATACCCACCAGGCAACTCTCCCTGCCCCGGGTGGCCTCAAAAACCCCTCCAGGGGTTTGCCTTTCACCCACTAGGAAGACACGGAGAAAGCATGCTCACTCGGCCTCTTTTACAATTTACAATTTCAGCTGCCAGGTACGTGGTAATTGCCATTGCTCATCCCCCCCCCCACCCCCACAACACACCTTATGAAAATGCCCCTTTCTCCTACAAAGGAGAAATGGCACATGACAAAGGCAGGATGCATCGTGCTCCTTCCCCAAGCTGGCTTCAGAAATAAATGCATGTGTTTGTATAAAACCTTTTGTATTCCACTTTTTTTTTTTTTGAGACGGAGTTTCGCTCTTGTTACCCAGGCTGGAGTGCAATGGCGCGATCTCTGCTCACCGCAACCTCCGCCTCCTGGGTTCAGGCAATTCTCCTGCCACAGCCTCCTGAGTAGCTGGGATTACAGGCGTGTACCACCATGCCCAGCTAATTTTTTGTATTTTTAGTAGAGACGGGGTTTCACCATGTTGACCAGGATGGTCTCGATCTCTTGACCTCGTGATCCACCCGCCTCAGCCTCCCAAAGTGCTGGGATTACAGGCGTGAGCCACCACGCCCGGCCTGTATTCCACTTTTGTGTGTCAGAGTTAGTTGAACTCTACATGCGGTAAGCAGCTAACCAGCTTTTCGGCTGCACGGGCACTACGTTCAGTTTTCCCTCCACGCTCAGTCTAGATAGCCTCAATCAACCTATCTCCAAGTTCATGGATTCTTTCTCTCACCAGCTCTAATCCACTATTGACGTCCTCTAGTAAATTTTTCATTTCGGTTATCATAATCCTCAACTCAAGAATTTCTGCCTGGCCGGGCGCGATGGCTCAAGCCTGTAATCCCAGCACTTTGGGAGGCCGAGGCGGGTGGATCACGAGGTCAAGAGATCGAGACCATCCTGGCCAACATGGTGAAACTCCATCTCTATTTAAAAAAAAAAGAAAAGCCGGGAGAGGTGGCTCAAGCCTGTAATCCCAGCACTTTGGGAGGCCGAGGCGGGTGGATCACGAGGTCAAGAGATCGAGACCATCCTGGTCAACATGGTGAAACCCCGTCTCTACTAAAAATACGAAAAATTAGCTGGGCATGGTGGCATGTGCCTGTAATCCCAGCTACTTGGGAGGCTGAGGCAGGAGAATTGCCTGAACCCAGGAGGTGGAGGTTGCAGTGAGCCGAGATCGCGCCATAGCACTCCAGCCTGGGTAACAAGAGTGAAACTCCGTCTCAAAAAAAAAAAAAAAAAAGAATTTCTTCCTGGTTCTTTTTTTACAGCTCTTTCCTTATTGATAGTCTTTATTTGGTGAGACAGCATTTTCGTACTTTCTTCTACTTCTTTTGACATGGTTTTCTCTATTCTCTGCACACATTGTAACAGCTGAAGTCTTTGTTTAGTAAGGCCGGCATCTGGGGCTTCTCGTGAAAAGTTCTCCTGACTGCTGTTTTCCTGTGTGGCCCTACACTTCTGCTTTCCCTGTATGTCTTGTCTCTTCTGTTGGAACAGGAACATTATAGGGAAGTAAGGTGGCAACACGACGCCAGAGACCCCACACAGGGTTTGCTGCTGCTGTTCTTGTTCTTGTTGTGGATCATCGTTCAGTGACAACTTCCCTGCACTAACTCTGTTGCATCTAGATTCCTGTAGCGTGTAGCCACTGACTGCTACATTTTGTTACTTTCGTGGTCAGATAATAAGTGGTCAGAAATTTCCTTAAAGGCCTGAACCAGTGAGTCCTCCAGTATTTGCGAAGCGGCTCTGTGTGTCTGTTAGGGCACACTTTCAAAGCGCAGACAGTTTATGATTCTGTATTCGCCTTCACTGCTTCCTTGCACGTGGCCTTGCGGTCACCCAGAGGGGAAAGATGGGAGCCCTCTCAGTCTTACCTGGGCATGTGCATGGCCTCCTAGATCCCCAGGAATATATCAGTGCTGTTCAAAGTCCCCTGTGAACAGCCATTCCCCAGGCTGAGTGCAGTGGTGTAATCACAGCTCACTGTAGCCTCAACAACCTGGGCTCAAGTGATCCTCCTGCCTCAGCCTCCCAAGTAGCTCTGACTACAGGCATGCACCAGCACACTCAACTAATTTTTTAAATTTGTTATAGAGACAGTCTTGCTATGTTGCCCAGGCTGGTCTCAAACTCCTGAGTTCAAGCTATCCTCCCGCCTTCGCGTCCCAAAATGTTGGGATTATAGGCGTGAGCCACTACACCTGGCATTGGTGCTTGTTTTAAGAGGTTCTCAAAAATCAATACCAAACTTACTATGTTTATTGATCACTTCATATGTAGTGCCAGTTTACCCTTTCGGTGGGGTGGGGGGCGAGGAAGAGACAAAGAGGTGAGTGTTTATGTGTGTCTAGGTACCAGGGCATCAGAAGCGACTCTGAAGACCTCACTAATGGGCTGTTCCTTTATTCTGTGGCCAGTGTTTGTCCAACATGATGCTGCCCAGCTCTACCTCAAAATCTGGAACCTGATTAAGGACCAGATCGCTGATGTGGACTTGGTAAGAACCTAGGACCAGAACGCCTGGAAGCTTCAGACGCTGCTCATTTAACTCATTCAGCTGTTGTCCCTGTCGTGTGTAGAGGGAAAGAGTTAATCCACATACAATGCCTATCGCAGTTTCATAATATTGGTACTGGGATTATTTTTCACCTTTGTGAGTGGGACAAAGAGCATTAGTGGCTACCGTTTCTGCAGCTTCTGTCTCTTGGCTCCAACTTCTGGCAGTTGGCCTGGCCTGGCTTATGGTGTTGTTTCTGTCTCGCCTCTCTGCTCCCTCTTTCAGGCGGGGAGGCTGCAGGCCCTGTATATGATCCGGATGAAGGACTCTTTGATTTGCCTTGACTGTGCCGTGGAGAGAAGCAGAAACAGCAGCATGCTGACCCTCCCACTTTCTCTTTTCGATGTGGACTCAAGGCCCCTGAAGACGTTGGTAAGGGGATTCTCTCCGTATTTGCTGCTCCCGTATGTGTTAATCCATCATCTGTTGTCACAACTCAATGTCTGAGAGTAGGTAATGTATTTCTTACACTTCTGGAGGCTGGGAAGTCAAGGTTGAGGGGCTGCACCTGGTGACGGCCTGCTTGCTGGTGGGGACTGAGTCTGGAGGCCAGGCAATGCGGGGTATCACCTGGCAAGGGGGCCAAGCATGCTAATGTGCCAGCATGCTTGTGTCTCTCTTCCTCTTCCTATGAAGCCACCTGTCCCACTCCCAGGATAACCCATTAATCCATGGGTGGATTAAATCATTCGTGAGGGCTGTGCCCTCATGACCCAATGACCTCCCTCTTTTTTTCTGGAGACAGAGTCTTCCTCTGTCACCTGGGCTGGAGTGCAGTGGCGTGATCTCGGCTCATTGCAGTCTCCACCTCCCGGGTTCAAGCGATTCTCCTGCCTCAGTCTCCTAAGTAGCTGGGATTACAGGTGCCTGCCACCACACCTGGCTAATTTTTGTATTTTTAGTAGGGGCGGGTTTCACCACATTGGCCACACTGGTCTGAAACTCCTGACTTAAGTGATCTGCCTGCCTCGGCCTCCCAAAGTGCCGGGATTACCGGTGTGAGCCACTGTGCCCTCCCCAGTCATCTCTCAAAGGCCCCACCTGTCCATACAGCCACACCGGGGATTCAGTTTCAAGCTGGCTTTTGGGGAGGACAAACACGGAAGCCGTATCAGCACACAGCACAGCTGCCGGTTCCCCCTTGCCTCTTGGGTCTAGCACTGGCTTCTGAGGAGTTGCTTATTTCATGTTTATGGTTCTGCCAATTTCTCCTTTGTTTTGGCAAAAGTCTTTTTTCCTCCTTCCTCCTCTTCCCTCATACTGCTCACCCAGCAGGAGCCCCCCCACCGTTTCATTCCTCCAGTCAGTAGGTGACCTTTGAGATCCTGCCAAGTGGACCACCCCAGGCCAGGCATTAAGAGGGATATGAAGGGAATCAGAAGAAAAGCTGAAACCCTCAGCTGCAAAGTGTGGGGAGGCTGTCCCTGATACAAGTGGGGGTCTGTGTCGCTGCCCAAAAATCTCGTGTTCAGTGGTAATCCCCAATGTTGGCAGTAGGGCCTGATGGGAGGAGATGGTTTGGCACCATCCCCCATGGTACTATCTTTGTGACAGTGAGTTCTTATGAGATCTTGAGTTCTCTCAAGAGCTCACACTTGTTTAAAACTGTGCAGCCAGGCTGGACACAGTAGCTCATACCTGTAATCCCAGCACTTTGGGAGGCTGAGGCAGGTGGGTCACCTGAGGTCAGGAGTTCGAGACCAGCCTGACCAACATGGTAAAACCCTGTCTCTACTAAAAATACAAAAAGTTAGCCAGGCATGGTGACATGGCCTGCAATCCCAGCTACTTGGGAAGCTGAGTCAGGAAAATCGCTTGAATCCAGGAGGTGGAGGTTGCAGTGAGCTGAGATCGCACCATTGCACCCCAGCTCCCCACTTGATGTCTTGCACCTGCCCCTCCTGTGTAAGATGCCTGATCCTGCTTGGTGCTCCACCATGATTGGGACTTCCTGCGGCCTCCCCGGAAGCAGATGCCAGCATGCTTCCTGTCAGCCTGCAGAGCCATGAGCCAATCAAGCCTTTTTTCTTGATTACCCAGAAATTACCCAGTCTCAGCTATTTCCTCACAGCGGTGTGAGAACAGATGAATACAGTACTCGAGGTGGGAAATGCCAACGCTGCCTTTTCCCTGTTCTCTTGGGTGGGGCAGGAGGATGCCCTGCACTACTTCTTCCAGCCCAGGGAGTTATCGAGCAAAAGCACATGCTTCTGTGACAACTGTGGGAAGAAGACTCGTGGGAAACAGGTACTGATTCCCTAAATCAGACTCAGCTGTCCCTTGGTGCACACAGGGGATTGGTTCTAGGACCCTTGTGTTTACCAAAATCTGCACATACTCAAGTCCCGCAGTCAGCCCCGCGGAATCCACGTATAGGAAAAGTCGGTCCCTCATCTATGCGGTTGTGCATCTGGAGTGTTGTATTTTTGATGAGCGTTTGGTTGCAGATGTGGAACTTGTGCTTATGGGGGAGGGCAGACTGTACTTATTTAAAACAATTTGTGTATTCAGTGGACCCACACAGTCCAACCTTATGCTCTTCAGGGGTCAACCGTCCTTCACTAGTCTGGATTTCCTGATAGAATTGTCAGAGTCCCCGAGGGGACCTCGTGATGGGTGAGAAAAGGAATCTGGGTCTGGCTAGTATCTGGGATCCAGGGGTTCTGATCTCTAGAGCCATGGATGTGGCTTCTCAGGTCACATCACTGAGAGGGACCAGAGGAGAAGGCCTGAGAGCAGCCGGCAGGGCATTTCCCTCCGGGTGAGACAAGCTCCCTGGAGCAGACGCCGTGGCTCCCTGGGTCTTAGCGCCTCTGCAGAGCCCTGTGCCCTTGTGCCTCTTGTGGGGACCCTGTGATGGTAGAATAGCCACGTTTCACTTTATTCTCAGAGGAGCTCAGCAGATTCAGTGAACGGGAGCCTTGAACTCCGCGATGTCACCCTGCGTCCTCTTTTTGGGATGAATGCGCCACTGGTCCTGACATTTCTTTCACGCCCATTCCAAGTGGATTTTATATCCAGAGTGATTTTTCTTTTTCAGGTCTTGAAGCTGACCCATTTGCCCCAGACCCTGACAATCCACCTCATGCGATTCTCCATCAGGAATTCACAGACGAGAAAGATCTGCCACTCTCTGTACTTCCCCCAGATCCTGGATTTCAGCCAGGTGCTTCCGATGGAGCGAGAGATCTGTGATGCTGAGGAGCAGGTGAGATGCTTCTGATTCTGTGCCATCCTGCCTCTCCCCAGACGCTGCATTTTTCCTGTTTTCCCTTCCCTCACCCCCAGTCTGCTAGAAGCCACCCATTCCTCAGAGACTGCCCGGCCTCAAAAAGACTTTCTTCTTTCTAAATATTGAATTTGTGTTCATATGCCTCACAGCACTGAGGGACGGAATCCAGAATTCAGTAGGCTTCTTTGGAAATAACGTGGAATACATGGAAATGCACAGGCAAACATGTCACTGTGGGTGCTTCGTACCAAGCAAACTTTCCTCCTCAAATGGCCTGTGCCCACCTTGAGGATAATCATAAAGTAGCCAGTTGACTGGGCCACATTTAAACAGAGTAAAGTTTAATTCACTTGTCCGGAGACAATAACTTATTGAGAGATTCTGAGAAGAAAAAAAGACACAAGGCCAGGTGATGTGGCTCATGCCTGTAATCCCAGCACCTGGAAAGGCTGAGGCAGGGTGATCACTTGAGCCCAGGAGTTCGAGACCTGCCTGGCCAACATAGTGAGACCCCCATCTCTAAAAAGAAAAACAAAAATTAGCTGGCTGGTAATCCCAGGACTTTGGGAGGCTGAGGCAGGTGGATCACGAGGTCAGGAGTTCAACTCTGTCTCTACTAAAAAATACAAAAATTAGCTGGGCATGGTGGCTTATGCCTGTAATCCCAGCTACTTGGGAGGCTGAGGTAAGAGAATTGCTTGAACCGGGACCTGGGAGGCAGAGGTTGCAGTGAGCCAAGATCACGCCACTGCACTCCAGCCTGGGCTACAGAGTGAGACTCCATCTAAAAAAAAAGAATTAGCTGGGTGTGGTAGCACACACCTGTAGTTCCAGCTACTTGGGAGGCTGAGGTGGGAGGATCACCTGAGCCCAGGAGTTTGAGGCTGCAGTGAGCGATGCTCTATCACTGAGCTCCAGCCTGGGCGGCAGCACTAGATCCAGTCTCTAAAAACAAAACAAAACAAGAAAAACTAAAGAGAAAAGCTACAAATATCTTTTCTCCGTAGTTGAAATGCTACGCAGCAAACTTCGTATTCCCATACGTGCGGGTCTGTTTTCGGGGGGTCTCTGCTGTTTCTTTGGTCCGTTTGGCTCTCTATGCTCTGGAGCCGTGGCATTTAGACAATGAAGGCCTGATGGAGCTCCTACTAGAACGTAGTTTCCTTACCTACGTAGGCCATAGACATTTCACGGGATTCTCTTTTTCTTTCATTCTAGCGCTTTCTATTTCTACCTGCACATTCTGCCTGATGAAGTATATTTAAAACTGTTTTTCTCTTCAAAAAGACTTTTTTTTGGGTGCAGTGGGTCATGCCTGTAACCCCAGCTCTTAGGGAGGCCACGAGGATTGCTTGAGTCCAGTAGTTTGAGCCCAGCTGGGCAACAAAGCGAGACTCCGTCTTTGCAACAACAAAAGCTTCACTATGGAACCTGTGAATATATTCCAGGGTGTCTAGTGAGGAGTTAGACAGCGAGTCCTCAGCTGCAGCCGTTACAAAACTCACGGCGGGTCCTGCTCTCACTATCAACCACCCTCTTGTCTCATCCAACCCTGTGCTGGATTTTTTGATGCAAATCCCAGATGCCATCCTGCTTTATTCGTAAACACTTCATTACGGATCCCTAAAGAATAAGCACTAAAGACACAACCAGCTCCATCTGGTAATCCCTTGAGAGCATCAAATATCTGGTCAACGTGCAGACGTCCCGACTGTCCTAGAATCGATGTGGTTTGTTTGAATCTAGATCCAAACAGAGCCTACACTTGCATTTGGTTAAGTTCCTTTCTTTTCTTGATTAAGTTCCCTTTAGGTTTCTGTGGCTTTTCTTTTCCTTGCAGTTGATTTGGTTGAAGACGTCTTAAATATGCTAGAACTGGCTGGCTGGTGTCATTCAGTGTGTTAATCTAACCCTTTTATTTCTTGTAAGCTAATATTCAGGTACAGATATCACCAGCGTTTTATAAAGTCCCGCACAAGGTCCGCAAATGGAAATAGGGGATAACTGGAGCCTGCACTGTGGGTGACTCAGCTTTGCATGTGACGCCCTTGCCCTCTGTCTCCCCTCCCACTACAAAGAGCCTTTTGGCTACGGTGGCTCAGGTTACAGACACTCCTGGGCTTGTGGAGAAACAGAACTGTGTTCTGATGACCCCCACCCCTCCCAGGGGGAGGTTCTAATCTTGCCTGGCTTTGGGGGCTCTCCATGACCTCCTGGCTTCCATCTCCCATGTGCTCTGCTCTGCCAAGCTGCAGTTCAGGATCCACACTCAGGAAAGCCCCTCCTGGAAGGTGCCCGCCGGCCGTGGGGCGGGGCTGTTGTCTAGTATTCTGAAGTCCCATAGTCGGGCCCAGGGTGGGCAGGTATAAATGTGTGAGGCAGTTGTGTTTGTGGTGGCGGGTGAAGTGTCTCGTGCCTGTGTCTTTCCAGCCTGGAGGGCAGTATGAGCTCTTCGCTGTGGTTGCGCACGTGGGAAGTGCGGACGCCGGTCATTACTGCGCGTACATCCGGAACGCTGTGGACGGAAGATGGTTCTGCTTCAATGACTCCAACATTTGCCCGGTGAGAAACATCGTCCACAGTCGCCTCCTGCCCGGGATTGGCCACCTCTAACAAATGCTGGGCCCCGGGCTGGGTGCATCTCCGAGATCAACACGGTGTGGTCCCGCCGCCGTCTGGGTGTGGGGCCTTTTATGAGGGTTCAAGCCTCTTTCATCCTGAAGTCCCCGTGGTTCACTTCCCTCCACTTCTAAGTTTTTGGTGCTCTAGGTTCATGCCCTGTGGCTTCATGCTTTGTGGGAAATGTGTAGAGAGCAAGCAGAGTTAGAAATGTGTAATTTAGGGTCTGGGATAAGCATGACCGGATTGAAACACAGGGACGAAGGCACTAGAAAGACTTCATTGCACATGACATCTTGCCGCTGATACTCCAGGTTCTTGGGGGTTGCTAGGGCTGGGCTTGTCTGGAGGATGAGGGGTACATTGTAGCCTCCGTCCTCTGTGGGTGCTCACAAGTGTCAGCTGGTGGCTGCTTGACCCCATTTGTTTCCGGCTTCCAGGTGTCCTGGGAAGACATCCAGTGTACCTATGGAAATCCTAACTACCACTGGTAAGAAACGAATTTGGATAATGGGAGCCCGATGAGCTCATATAGGGTCCTTGGAGCTGCATGAAATGCCCGTGGATTCCCCTGTTACTGACATGCTGATGGCTCACGGTTCATCTTCAGCACTCACCCCCTCCCCCGATTACCTTACACGTCACACTCCGGGAATATTAAAGCAAAGATCACCACTGTTTTTTTAAACGTTATTTTTAGAGATGGGGTCTTGCTTTGTTGCCCAGGCTGGAGCACTGTGGTGTGTTCATAGCTCACTGCACCCTTGAACCCCTGAGCACAGGCGATCCTCCCACCTCAGCCTCTTGAATAGCTGGGACTACAGGCATGCACCACCACGCCTGGCATATTTTAAAAACGTGTGTAGAGATGAGGCTGTGTTGCCAGGCTGGTCGCAAACTCCTGGGCTTGAGCCATCCGCCCATTTCCGCCTCCCAAAGTGCTGGGATTACAGGCATGAGCCACCGCGCCCGGCCACTGGTTTTTAGAATTGTTCGCTTACGTAACTTGCTGTAACATTAGACTACCAGCTGTTTTGGGGGAAGGGTGACTTTTTTCATATTTCTTTGTCTGGCTTGGATTAGTAAGTATCAGTAAATATGTTTATAACCAATGAGCACAGAGGAGAAGCTGGGGAGAAAGAGGCTGGACGAAGTTCAAGCAGAGAGATTCCGTAAGTTTTCTTAGCTGAGCCTTGAGGTTGTGTATGAGAACCGCTATCTGAGGGGATTTCAGCTACAGAGATAGGCCTGGTCATTTGCAAAGTAGTGGATCAGGTGAAGCTCGCACGTGAAATCCTCATTCTGCTTTTCATCTTTCTCTCCTGTTTCTTCTCAGCATCCTGTTAGCCACCCAATCTCTGCCACTTAGTGGCTGCCATTGATTTCCCTGTTATTGAGATCAGAGGTTGGCAGCCTTCCCCTGTAAAGGGCTGGAGAGAAAGTTCTTCAGGCTTCGTGGTCTGTACAGTGTCTGCTGCAGCCACTGGACTCTGCCCTGTGGAGCAAAAGCAGCCACAGACAGTACCTGGGCGAATGAGTGTGGCTGGGGGGCAGTTAAATTTATTTCCAAAAATAGGCTTGCAGGCTGGGTATGGGCTTACACCGTTAATTCCAGTAGTTTGGGAGGTCAAGGCGGGAGGATCACTTTCAGCCAGGAGTTCAAGACCAGCCTGGGCAACAAAGCAAGACCCAGCTCTACAAAAAAAATGGAAAGTTACAGCTAGGCATGGTGGTGCACACCTGGAGTCCCGGCTACTTAGGAAGCTAAAGCCGAGGCGGGAGGATCACTTGAGCCCAGGAGTACGAGGCTGCGGTGAGCTGTTACTGTGCCAGTGCTCTCCAGCCTGGTGACAGGGCGAGAACCGGTCTCATCGAAAAACAAACAATGCACATTCTCACTTACAAGTGGGAGCTAAACACTGGCTACTCATTGACTTAAAGATGGCAGCAAGAGACACTGGGAACTGCTGGACGGGGGAGGGAGGGGGTGAAAAACTAACTGTGGTGTCCTGTGCTCACACACCCGTGACAAACCCGTACATGTGCCCGCTGAATCTGACATGAAAGTTGAAAGTTTATTTAAAAAGCCCGACAGGGTTGGATTTGGCTTGTGCGCCTGGAGCTTGTTAGCCTCTGCTTTAGATATTAACTAACAGAAACTTAGTGCTAATCTTCCCAGGCCGTCCATTTTGTTCTTCTCCGAGGTGATGTAGAGAAAGGCTTGATCCAGCTGCCTGGATGTTTGCTGACACTTGTCCTGCCATGGGTTAATGAAGCATCCTTTTCTGGTGGAGGTTTCATGCTGCTGTGCTGATGTGTCTTCTCGTCTCTCTAGGCAGGAGACTGCATATCTTCTGGTTTACATGAAGACGGAATGCTAATGACTATGCCCAAAACCTTCAGAGATGGACGCACTATCATTTTCCACTTCCGTCCTGGATCTATGGAGTCTTCTAAGAGATTTTGCAATGAGGACAAGCATCGTTTTCCAACTATATAATTGAGCCTTATTTATAATCAGGGATATGATCAAAATATTTAACACTGAAACCCTGCAGGACCTGATCAGTCAGGCTAGACGTTTTCACCAGTTGACCCAGCCACGTGGCTGCTGGGTCTTGGGTGCTCCCGGCTGTGGTCAGCCCTTTAGTTAGGAGCCTGTGGGAGGTCCAGGTGCTCCACAGAGGGCAGCAGTGGCGGTGGGGTCATCTGGATGCTAAGGGTCCGTGGCAGTGGGTATTTCAGTATTTCACAACTGCTGTGCCCAGACTTGTGTGTACTGGCTGAATATCAGTGCTGTTTGTAATTTCTCAGTTTTAGAACCAATATTAATCCATATAAATCAAGTGTTTTGTAACTGTTATTCTTTTATTCAGCAAATATTTATTGATAGTCTGTTCTCCATAAGATAGCGTGATAGCACAGTAATGAATCAAGTTCTTTTCCACAAAAGGAGTTTGCAGTTTAATGGGGGATAGCAGGCCTGGTGCTATAGGAATTCAAAGGACAGGGAAGTCACTTCTGTTGTGGGGCCCTGGGAGGAGCCTCCAGGCTGGAAAGGCTTAGGGTGGAGACACCGACAGGGATAGCGTAAGGAGTGGACTGGCTGAAAAAGGCCTTGCTCAGCATTCGGAAACCATTCACACACCCAACTTTTTTCCACCAGGGGTGGGGAAGGCTGGAGATGGGAAGGCAGGTGGAGCTCAGAACGTGGAGGGTATCCAGCAAGGCTGGGAAGCTTGCCCCTGATCTGGTGGGTGGCGAGGAAGCCCTGAAGGGACGTGAGAAGGAGAGGAGCATTCAGTTGTGTTCTGCTGACATCGATCTGCTGGAGCTGGGGTTAGAGACAAACGTGGTGGGAATGGAAAGCCATCACAGTCACTAGCGCCATTTTGGGGGAAGAGTGGATGTGGCTGGTGAGAGAACAGGGGCCCAGGGAGAGTCCGGCCCCAACCTGGGAAGTGAGCCCCGTGGGTGTGAGCACCCCCACTTTACAGAAGACTTGATGGAGACATTCAGATGTTTAACTCCTGTTCAAGATTCCACACTTGGTAAGCGGCAGACCAAACTCCCAACTGAAGACGTAGGTCATTTCTTTACTCTTTTGTTTGTGTTGTTAACAATGATTAGCCATACAAGAGTCAATTATTGTAAAATCATCAAACAACGTAGATAAGGAGGGAATCCCTTCCTTGGAGCTTGCCCTTGTCAGACGGCTGGATGAGTGTCCTGGGGCGTCCGTAACTAACTGCCAGGGACTGGGTTGCTTACGATGACAGAAACGCATGGTGTCCCAGCGCTGGAGGCCAGAAGCCCTCATTCGAGGGGTGCAAAGGGCTGGCTCCTGAGGCTCCAGAGGAGGCCTGCTCCCTGCCTCTCAGCTTCTGCTGCTGGCCAGCAGTTGTCATTCATTTGCTCACCGCTGTGTCACTCCAGCCACCGCCTCCATCTGCCCGTGGCCTTCTCTTTTCTTTGCAGGGATGAGGTCTTGCTCTGTTGCCCAGGCTGGAGTGCAGTGGTGCAGTCACGGCTCACTGCAACCTTGAACTCCTGCGCTCAAGTGATTCTCTTGCCTCAGCTTCCCCAGTAGCTGAGACTATAGCCACAGGGCACCATGCCAGCCTACTTTTAAAATTTTGTTTATTTTTGTAGAGGTGGAATCTCACTATGTTGCCCAGGGTGGTCTTGAACTCCTGGCCTCAAGCAGTCCTCCTGCCTCCATCTTCTGGAGTGCTGGGATTGCAGGTGTGAGCCGCCGTGCCTGGCCAGTTCTAATTATATCTACACAGGCATCAGTCAGTCCTTACGGCTCAGCAACCTCCAAGGGCATGATGGATGAGGAAGGACGTGATGGCCCCATCCATGCCAGCCCAGGGTCTAGGACGTGTGTGTTCTGAGAGCTTCTGGTGGTCACTGGGTCCAGTAGCCCCAAGCCCAGCTCCGCTGAGCAGCTCCGAGTGAGGTTGCCTTCCCTCCAACTTCTTGTCCAGTCTCTGGGACTGTCGTCTCCTGAGGCTCAGAGGAAGGAGGTCTCCCCTCACCGCAAGGTCATCTGCTGCTCATGATTAGACTTCAGTGGGCCTGGGGACACTCGGGAACCAGGGACATTCTCACATGAAGACCCATCCCACAGAGTACTGACGGAGGATCAGGGGTTCATGCAGGGGCTGTGTCCCCACTCTGGGAGCATGGGCCAGCTGAACTGTTCTGGGGCAGGCAGGACCCCTCTCGTGTTGGGGACAGCTCGCCTGGTTGGGACTGTCACTGATCATGGTGACAGGATTAGGTTGAGTATCACAGAGGCCTTGGACCCTTAGGTGTGTGGGGAGCTTTCTGAAAGCACAGAGTTCATGGCTTTCACCCTTCCCCCCGATTTGGGTCCCCTGCAGGGCATCGTCCTCATGGCTGGAGCAGCCTGGCCCTGTTCTCGGGCCCTGTCCTGTGCACGGGTCA